TGTCTAACTCTGCTCTGTCTTCTCGTTAAGCTTGTTGGAGAGTTCCTCGAGGTGACGTGCATCAGCCCTACGTTCATCTGTGACCACCCACAGATCATGAGTCCTCTGGCCAAGTGGTGAGATACAGTTTGTTACTGCATAAAACCCTAAAGCGGGGCCTGGGCTGCGGTGCCTGTACCTGTGCCGTAGAACATTTACTTAGCATGCATCTAGGCCTAGGTCCAATCTTCAGTACTGCTTTTTATCTCTTCCTTCCTTCCTTCCTTCTTTCCTTCCTTCCTTCCTTCCTTCCTTCCTTCCTTTCTTTCTCTCTTTCTTTCTAGAATTATGTATTTGATGTCTGAGTACACTGTCACTATCTTCAGACACACTAGAAGACAACATCAGATCCCATTTCAGATGGTCGTAAGCCACATGTGGTTGCTGGGAACTCAGGACCTCTGGAAGAGCATCAGTGCTCTTATCCACTGAGCCATCTCTCTGGTCGTTCAGTGATGCTTTTAAAAAACAAAACCCAGAAATTAATGGTATAAAATGATGTCCTGTGTTGACTTACTTGTCGGTGGTCTTTCTGTGACGAGCATTGATACAATATCTAAGATGGGAATCTTGCCAGGGCCTCTTCACATGATCTCTCTGGCAGTAGTCTGTCATCAGCATGGTGGTTGAGTTCCCAATGCAGGCATCCCAAAAGAACAAGCCTCAACAGGCAAATATATGCTAGACCTTTGCCAATACCTCCTTGACGAAAAGAAGTGGGCAGCCCAGAGTATGAGAGCACAGCAGAACGGCCTGGGTTCAGTCTGTGCCCCTGCCTGTTAGGAGCACAGTCAAGTCTCTTGTCTCTCTCACCCTCGCTCTGGTACCAGAGATCAGTGCTGAGAATTGATGAAGCTTCAGGTTTCAACTTTTGGGTCAGGCATTACATTATGAGAGCTCTGAGTAGTCATGCTCTGTGGTCTCATGTCCCCAGGCACCGCTCCAAAGCGGGTCTAACTGAACGCTTTGAGCTGTTTGTCATGAAGAAGGAAATATGCAATGCCTACACTGAGCTGAATGACCCTGTGCGGCAGCGGCAGCTATTTGAAGAACAGGCCAAGGTGAGTGAGTGAGGATGGTCTCTCTTACCCTGAGCTCACACCAGGAAGCACCGCCCTTAACCCTGTGTTGCCGGACACTTTGTTGCTGTTTTAACCAAAGCCCAGGAGACTTTACAGCTTTTTATATTGGGGTGTGTGTGTGTGTGTGTGTGTGTGTGTGTGTGTGTGTGTGTGTTCCTTCGTGTTCTGCCTGCAAGTGTGTCAGTGCGCTATGTACACACAGTGCTTGGGAGGGCACGAAAGAGTACTGGATCCCCTGGAACTGGAGTTACGCCACCATGTGTGTGCTGGCAGTCAAACTTGGATCCTCTGGAAGAGCGTCTCTTAGCACTGAGCCAACTCTCCAGCTCCATACAGAGGCTTTGCAGAAGGAAGTCCCATTCCAAATAGAGCTGCTCTTTCTGTTTCTGAGACAGTCTCAGGTAGCCAAGGCTGCCTTGAAGCCTTGACCCTCTAGTCTCTGCCTCTCAGGACTGGGATTACAGGGCTACATGCCACACCCACTGACACTTTGGCTTTGATTATTTGATATGTAAAATGGGTTGAAGATTGCCTATATTTGGACACTCATCTCAAAAATACATTTAACAAGGACATACTTTTTCTTAAACTATACCTCTCACCCTTTTTTTTGGAAGGGGACAGATATTGCTTTGTTTCTTGAAACAGAATATCTCTATATAGTCCTGAATACCTCTGCCACTGATGGCTGGTTTCAGGAAACAGATTCTTTAGTATCGTACTGTACTAGCTAAGAACTAGTCTATTTGGAGTCCCAAGACCCCAAGCAGAAGACCGGTTTTGTCTTTTTTTTTTTAATTACTGTATATTTGTAAAATAATGAGGGCTGCCTGCCTTCTTAAACTTTCAAGACAAGATCTCACTGTTCGGTCCTGTCTGGCCTAGAATTAGTTATTTAAACCAGGCTAGCCTCCAGCTCTTGGCAACCCTCTGTCTCAGCCTTCCAAATAAATAAAGGTTTTATCTCTGAGGTAGATTTTGTTAGTCCTAACCTCCAGGTCTCTGGGAATCTTTGGTACCCTTTTGAAAGTTTGAACGTGTGTGTGTAGACACTGAGATGACCTGAAACTGGGTTGATCCTTCTGTTTGGAGTCTCATGTCAGACATTCACATACAGTGCATAACAGTTGGGACACAGCGGTGAAACAATCCCACGGTTGGGGTCACAGTATGAGGAACTGCACTGAAGGGTCTCGGCATTAGGAAGGTTGAGAACCGCCGACTAGAAGACTTGGATCCTTTTGGACCTTTGACTCTGTTTACTCTAGGCCAAGGCTGCTGGTGATGATGAGGCCATGTTCATCGATGAGAACTTCTGTACTGCCCTGGAATACGGGCTGCCCCCAACAGCTGGCTGGGGCATGGGTATCGATCGAGTCACCATGTTTCTCACAGATTCCAACAATATCAAGGTATGTACAGACCTCCCAGTACATGCTTCCCCAGAACTCCACCGTACTGGAGACAGCATAGAGGGCCTGGAATAGAAAGGAGAGGCTCAAGAAGTTTCCTTCCACTCTACAGGAGACTAGAGAGCATGTGACCTTAAAGGATTTTAGTCTTTGCTGCTGGAGACAGGAGGGATACTAATAGTTTGCTTTTCTTCAATATCTAGGAAATGCTAAGCCCTTTCTAGATGTATTGCCCTAAGCCAGTCAGTCCTGTGAGGTGTGAAGACTGTTTTTGCTGGTGTTATTACTCTTTTTGAGACAGGGTCTCATGTAGCTTGGACTCTTTTGGAATTCCATCTGTAGTTTATAGTGACCTTGGTATTCCTGATACTCCTGCCTCTACCTGCAGAATACTGACATGACAGGTGTATGTCTGAGGAAGTTCACTTTTTTTTTTTTTTTTTTTTTTTTTTTTGGTTTTTTCGAGACAGGGTTTCTCTGTAAAGTCCTGGCTGTCCTGGAACTCACTCTGTAGACCAGGCTGGCCTCGAACTCAGAAATCCGCCTGCCTCTGCCTCCCAAGTGCTGGGATTAAAGGTGTGCACCACCACTGCCCGGCTGATGTTCACTCATAAAACAAAATAATTTTTTTTCCATTATCCATATGGCTCATTTACACCACAAGCATCCCCTGTGCCTGCAGAGGCCGGAAGAGATGTCAGCTCCCCTATAGCAAGTTACACAAGGCTATGAGCCACTGTGTATCTGCTGGGAACCATGTCTCCATCCTCTGTGAGAACAAGTGCTCTTACTTGCCGAGCCATCTCTCCAGCCCTGGAAACTCAGTTTTACTAGAACCTGTTGATGCATTGTTTTGACATGGGACCCAAGCACGTTCTGTGCCCCGGGCTGGGTGCAAATTTCATAACAACAGAGGCAACAGCAAAAGTAGGATAGCAGGGGAAAAAATCCATAGTGCCCTATTATTGAAAGACAGGGTCTTACTACCTAGTCTGGTTGTTCTGGAACTTAACTGTATGTAGACCAGGCTGGCCTTGAAGTCAGGTCACAGTGGTTGGCTTGCCCCGGCCTCTTAAGTGCTGTGACTACAGGGGAGCTCCGCTGTGCCCAGCTCCTGGTGCTCCTCAACCTCAAAGGATGCTTTGTTCTTCTCTAGGAAGTACTTCTCTTTCCTGCCATGAAGCCTGAAGATAAGAAGGAAACTGCAACAGCCACTGAAACCCCAGAGAGCACAGAGGCCAGCCCCTCTGTCTAGAGGACTCATGCAGCTATGGCATTTGCATTGCAGCAAATCTGGTCTGAGGGAGCCATTCCTGTGGCGCCGTCCATCTATCCACTGCAGTCCAACCACAAGAGAGAAGAGTTAAAGAATTTCTTTTTATTCCTTGTTACCAAATAAACCATTTCTCTCTTTAGCTGTGCAGTGTTACTTTTTTCCCCCACAGACTGCTGGTCTATTGAGTGATCTAATTAGAACTCTGTCATTGTACTTTTTTAAGATTTATTTTTATTAACTATGTGCGTGTACACGTATATGTGTGTGCCCTCTGAGGCCAGAGATGTTGTTTCTCTTCGAGCCAATAGGCATTTGTAAGCTGCCTAACATGGATACTGAGAAAGTTCAGCCCAATGAGAGCAAGATGGGCTCTTAACTCCTAAGTCAACTTTCCAGCCCCATCTACGGTCATAATCTTTAACAAATGTCTATTAATCTCTGTCCAGTATGAGGCATTGATCTGAAACGCTGGAAACACCAGTGAACAAATATCAAATCACTTCTTCTATAAAAATTACTTTTATTTTCTTTAGTGCTTGAGTGGGGAGTTGAGGGAGAACCAGACCAGATCAAGTGTGTGTTCCTTTTTGGTGGAGGCACACTCAAACACAAAGCATGGTAAGAGGACCGCAGTGCAGTTTTAACATACAGTAGAAAACGGCGGGAGACATGGTTCGGTGCTACAAGTAATTACTGTGCTTCCGAGGACCAGGGTTCGGTTCGGTACCCAGCACCCTTGTCAGGCAGCTTGCAACCGTGATGCAGTTCCCCATGTCCTTTTCTAGCTGCCTTGGGCGTTTGCATGCACATACGCACATAAATCTTTAAAATATATGTATGCATATATGCACATAAGACAGTATTTGAAGAATAGCAAAGGGTCTGTTACCCTGAGAGAAATAAGTAAGGGGCAGGTCATCCAAACCCATGATAGTCACACAGGATATGTTATGACTGAGGTGAGAAACTGTCAGAGGATCTGCTCAAGATTCTGATAGGTTGCAAGCTAAGTCGGTTTCCTAGTTCTGCCTTGGGGAGGAAGCTTCCTTCATATCTTGGCTGTAGAACTGAGCGGTCTTGACTCGGTTCCCAGAGACTACAAAGACCAGCGTGCTTTGCGGGCGGAGCTTGACCAAAGCTGTCTTTTAGGACGTCACTTCCGCTGCGCAACCGGGTTCTGCGGCGAGCGTGGCGGTAGAGTGGCATCGCGTGGAGGAAGCGGTGGAGGGTGCGGCGCGTGGATAACAGGGTGTCAGGGACTCCGGGTCGGCGTCTCGGGGTTAGCTCTACACAGCTGGCCTTGTGTGTGTGGGAGGAAACTGAGGACGCTTGTCCACCGCTCCTGCGGGGAGGGGTCTCACAGCCCTGCTAGGCGCTGCAGCCCGGCGGAGCCTCACCTCGGGGTAGGAAGGGTGGGAAAAGAAGTGGGTTTTTTTTTTTCCCCAGTCTTTGAGACTGTTATTTATAGCCAAAGCAATTCCTGTTTGAGCTGCTTCGTATGAAGGAGTTCTTCAAGGTCTTTAAATAGGGGTTGTAGAGATGAATTACAGCGGACCCAAAATATCGAAACATTCAACAACTGCGTGGTCCTTCTGTCAGCTACCTGAGTGACGTGATGTAGTTCGAGTTCGGACTGCTTCGTCTCCTTGTTTTGTAGTTTGTAATCCGTACCTCGAATTTAATAGCAGGTGTCCACCTTCATAAAATAAACCGTTCTGTGATGCCTAACTGGAACTAACAGGATTCTGGGATTCCTCATGCTTGTGTTCCTAGAAATACAAGATTTCTCTGCGTTAGACTTTAAAGCAACAATCTCTGTCAGTCCCTGCCAGAATAGTCATTACCATTTACCGCAAAATGTGCCTGCATTTTGCAGAAGTCTTAAAAATACCTTGCCAAAACATCACATCGGAGCTCAGTAAAAAGAACTATTCTGTTATTTATTCTACAAATGCTCTGCCATGTCTAGCCATCGCATGAGCTCATCTAAGAAGCTTTTTATATAATCAACAGAAGTCAAGATATATCCAGTGAGCACTAACAGCCAAGAACTGGAGAAGTGCTGCCAACTTTCGCAGGCCTCTTCCAGATCTGATCTGTTTAATGTTCTGTTAGGTTGTGTGTAAGTGACTTCATGTGCCCGTTACATTGCTTCTCTCCCCCACCAATTCAAATCTCCCAGATCACCAAATGTTGTATTTTCTTAATGCTAATCACAGTCGGCATTGTTACAGACATTTGCTTTTATAAGTACTTATAAAATATGTTAGATACTAGCCAGGTGGCACATGCCTTTAATCCTAGCACTAAGGAGGCAGAAGCAGGCGATCTCTGTGAATTCAAGCCCACTCAGGTCTACAGAGCAAGTCCTAGGACAGCCAGGCTGTTACAGAGAAAAACCTTGTCTAGGAAAAAAAGAAAAAAAAGTTAAGTACTATTAGTCATGTTTTAACAGATGTGAAAACTGATCTATCCAGGAATCACACAGTTAGTTACTCTGTATTAAAACTGAAATTAAAACCTAGAAAGTCTAGCTCCATGCCCACACCCTTAAGCACAGCTGTTGTAAGAGCTTTCAGTGAGAGACTTTGGAAAATTTGCTAGAGTGAGGTAGATTCCCTCTTCTGTTTGGAGAAAGGAGGACAAGAACATTTGTCCAGAAAGAAACCTTGTAGGGTGACAATCTGCCCAAAGCAAGCTGAAATCCGAGAGGACAGTATAAAACAGAAAAGCCACCTTCATTAACTTGTTATTTGTGTTCATCTTGAAGAAATAGCTTCTCTTCTGGGCTTCACTCTTTATTAGAGATGGGAGGGGAGGGAGGTTAGTAAGAACAACCTTAGTCTGAGCACAGTGGGGCTACATTAGGGACGGCTAGAGCACTGGAGTGAGTGAGGCTCTATCGAACTACGCCGGTTTTCCTTTCTGCTCTGATGGTTTTGGCTTTCTATCGTGGCCTCGGCTCCAGCTACACCTATGTGGACCGCAGATGAGATTGCTCAGCTGTGCTATGCACATTATGTCAGACTACCCAAGCAGGGGAAGCCTGAGCCAAACCGTGAGTGGACTTTGTTGGCAGCTGTGGTGAAGATACAGTCTGCAGCTAACCAAGCTTGTGACCCCCCTGATAAGGAAGTGCAAGGTGAGACCCTTTCTCCCCTTGTCTGCAACCACAGAACTTACTGGGTGGGATGCAAACTATGATACGTGTTTTCCCCATTTTGTCCACCAGGTGGCGCAGTACTTCTGGTGGCGACAAACCACCCCAAGGGAACTAACTGCAGTCCGGGTTGATGCCACCTGTGGGAATCCTCCAGAGAACGGAGGGATGTAGACTTAGTAAACCCCGAACACTAGGAAGTGTTCAGCCTTGGAGAGGTCACTCGCTTAATTAATGATTTGTTTTTTTCCTCTCAGTGACAAAGGAAGTTGTCTCAATGGGAACGGGAACAAAATGCATAGGCCAGTCCAAGATGAGAGAGAGCGGTAAGCAAAGAAGCTCTAAACTGTTGTCTCTGTGCTAAACCGTCATACTGACCGTGTCAAGGAAATGGGGCCATACTGGCTGGAGTGGCTGACCCCTCATTTACTACTGATTGTCCCCGGAATTAGAAGAACCAATTGTTCTTTCATTTGGTTTGGTTTATTGTTGTTTTTCAAGACTGATTCTTTGTGTAGCCCTGGCAGTCCTGAAACTCCATAGAGCAGGCTGGCCTTGAATTCACAGAGATCTTCCACCTGCTTCTGCATCCCAAGCACTGGGACTAAAGGTGTGTACCACCACCACCCAGCTGACCATTCATTCTTTAAAAAAAAAAAATAAGAATTCAGAGCTGAACATGGTGGTGCCTTCCTGTAAACCCCACACTAGATGTGTGGCAAGAAGCTTAAGACCAGCATCGTAAATTTTCTACCCCAAGAGAAAAAAAAAAAAAAAGGAGAGAAATCCAAATCGGAGCAAAAATCCCCAGGAACATGCTTCTGAAAGGCAGTCAGCATTCTCAAGTTTGAACCAAAGAGAGAAGGAGTGGCCTCGCTGGCTTCTGAGTGGCCTTGATGGCTTCTGAGCGGCCTCATTGGCTTCTGAAGCCCAGAAAGCAATCTTGAATTAAATAGACCTTTGCCATCAGCAAGAATGCTGAAGTCCCTTCCGTTCTCCTAGCCTTGTCTCCACTATGCGAGGACTCTGTCACGTCCACTATGGAAACGTGTCACCATGAGCATGAATATGGTGCCGTGGTATAAGAGATCTCCATCCCTGACTTACAGATACAAGATTTCTGTAGCCAGGGGGCACAAGTCTGCAATCTCAGTGGCTTAGGAAGCTGAGGCAGGAGGAGGGTCTAAATGTCAAGGCCTGTTTGGGCCACAGGTGGAGGGAGGTGAAGACGAGCTTAACCAGCTTAGTGAACCCCCCCGTAAAAAAAAAAAAAAAAAAAAAAAAAAATAGAGCAAGTGTCAGGGTTGGCGATGAATGATTTTAAGTCCAGCACTTGCAAAGCCAAGACTGGTGGATTTCTGTGGTGTTCTAATGAGTGCTGGCGTGGGGACACTGCTGTATATTCTTCCAGGCTCCCTAGATCCCATGTCTTCATTTACAACATGTGTCCTGTCTTTGCCACAGGAGACATCCTTAATGACAGCCATGCTGAGACCATAGCCAGAAGGAGTTTCCAGAGGTAAGGCCACACAACCCAAATAGTCTCGGTCAGCCATGTCTTAGGATGGGGTTTGCATTTCTAATCAGCTTCAGCTGATGCAGATCATGTCTCACTGACCTGCCAGGGTCGAGGTTAGTGGTTCTCAAGCTTGGGCATGCCTCAGAATCACCTGCTCTAACCCAGGTCTCTGGGGCCCGGGTATAAGCTCAGTGATAGGGTGCTTGCCTGGCACATCGGGCTTCTGGGTTCAAACCCAGCTCAGGGATGGGAGTGGAGAAGATGACTAACCTCCCTGCAGAGATGCTCAGTAGGTCAGGTTGAAGCCTGAGATCTTCCTAGCCTGCCTTCACAAAGGACTCGTGTCTATCATCCCCGTAATGCCGGGTCGTGACCAGTCTCTTTCTGTTGTAACCCTCTCCTGCAGTTACCCAACCAGAGAGCTCTCTTTACCACAGAAGTGTGCTGTTTATTCTTTTTCTCCATTTAACTGATTTTCTAGTGCTGGGGATCAAGCCAAGGGCTGTCTGTCGCATGTGCTAGGCCCTTAGCATGTAAGGTACCCTGAGCTATGTCACCGGCCTACTCGTTCATTCTGATCTCTTGCACCACTCAGGTACCTTCTCCACCAGCTCCATTTGGCAGCCGTCCTGAAAGAGGATAGCATCTTTGTCCCAGGGACTCAAAGAGGACTCTGGAGGCTCAGACCTGACCTGTCATTTGTGTTTTTCTCTAGCCACACACCCTGTAAGTATGGTCAAGCCTCAGGATCAGTGTTGCACTGACTGCTTCCCAGTGCTTGTCTCCCTCATAGGGATGTTCTCTCCAAAGGCAGTTCTGGCTGACAACAGTAAAACTAATGGCAGTGACCATTTACATGCACGGTCACATTGCTTCTGGGAGAAAGCAAAAGGCAGATAGAGGGTGGTGTGGAGTCTTCTACTGTTAGTTCTCAAAGTCAGGACTGGCGTCTTCAAGTTTAACCCCTACAAAGTACAGTATAATTATTGGGACTCAAAAGCACAAAGTCTTACTGCAGTAACTAATCTTAAAGCCCATTTCGTTCATTCATCTATTCATGGAACAAATAAATATTTCTCTCTTTTTTTGAGACTTTTTTTAACTTACATATTAGAAAAAGAGACTGTGTGTGTGTGTGTGTGTGTGTGTGTGTATGTGCCGCAGTGTGTACACAGAGGTGGAAAGACAACTTGTAGTTGTTAGTTCTCTGCTTCCACCGGGTGGGTTCTGGAGCTGGAACTCAATTCATTGGGCTTGGCAGCAAGCACCTTTGCATACTGAGCCCTCTCGCTGGCCTGACTCGGGGGTTTTGCTAAGTTGTCCTGCCTCAGTCTCCCAAGTGTAGGGAATGCAGGCATGCTCCACACACCCGGGGGTTTTGTATTTTTAGCACAGTCCTGCTGTTAGCCTGCCTTGCCTTGACCTCCTGAGGTTACAGGACTGAGCCACCGTTCCTGTCATGAACCGGTATTCTCTAATACTCAACACGGTAGGGACACTGAATCTAAAGCAATAAATTAGGGTCTAGGAAGAGAACTCAGTGGTCAAGTGCTTGCTTCACATGAGTAAAGACCTGGGGGATCTATCCAGGGTGTCGGCCTGCTGAGGGACCACACAGACCAGGAGACTCGGGCATGCTGCTCTGTGCGCGTCTGTGCAAGGCAAGAAAACTCAAGACTGTAGTAGTGTGGTAGGGAATTCAAACGTAGAGGGTCTTAGGATCTTTTGTTTTGAAGGGGAGTATGGTGATTTGGGGGAGGGCAGAGGTCCTTAATGAGATGTAGACAACAGATGTAAACGAGCTTCCAGACTGACTTCGGGATTGTTCACGAAGGACGAGGAGACGAAGATGACTTCCAGGTTCCTCCTCAGGGCTCTGGAGGAATGATGACTCTGTGCTGAGAAGTGGGAGGAAGGACAGCTGGGGTGGGGGAGGTTAGGTTCTCTCTTCCTTTTGTTAATTGTGATAATTGGATTTTGTTTTACTTCTTAAGTTCTTAAATAAGAAGTTGGCAGTCCTTTGTTGATCTTAAAGACTCTGGAAATTGTTTTGCTGGAAAAAAAAAATCTTCAACCACTGACATAACTCTCTTCGTTCATGAGTAATCTTATAAAGTGGTGCTCCTCGTACAATGTGGTGCTCCCCCACCCGTGGCTTATCTGTAGGAAGGAAGCACGCTGCCTGGCAAATTCGACTCTCTGGCTCCCCTGACATTTACTTCTCATTACTGAGAATAATTTGGGTCTCGGTTAGCTACTTTAGACTCTTGCCTTTGTGTGTCACTGGTGTGAGTCAGCCTCCTGTACTCTGGCATTCTGTCGAGATCACATCTCTGAGCCTATGGAGTAGGAGGTGGACCCCAGTGAATTCTCCAAAGTTGCTGTCACCTTGTAAGGTCTCTGGAAGTCAGCCAGGCAGCCTGTCCTACAACTTTTCTCCTCCTGTGTCCCTCTTGCCTTCACCACTCTCTGGTTATAAAGACCACAAGTATACTTTGCACACTGGAAGAGCAGCACACACTGGGCTGGTGTTTGAAGAAACAGCTTCCTTCTCAAGGGAGTGCTGCGCTTTCCCCAGGCCTCAGGTTTCCTCTGGTTTCCGTGGACACAGATTAGATGAGGACTGTAAACCAGCACAGGGAAACACCGGAGCTTTTAGAAACACTGGGGTGGACTGGATTTGGCAGTTATTGTGGGTCTTTTCTGTGAGAAAATACATCATAAAATCCCCAAGATGAAGATATTATGATTAATGTTTGTCAAGTTTACTCAGCCATGAAATAAGCCACTAGTATTTTCCAAGGCATCTTATGGGCTCTCAGGCCACAAATGCCCTTGGAAAACCTTGCTCATTGTAAATCAGTAGTTGTCAGGCTGGGGGGGCTGTAATTCTGTGGTAAAGTGCTTGCTAGTCCGAGGCTAGTCCGAGTTACAGAAGGCCTTCTCTCAAAAGAGAAAACGAACAAAAATTTCGTGAGTGTAGAAACTGAGAAACTCTGGTTTGGAGCAGGGTTTCTAAAACCGCCTTGTAGTAGAAATTACTTGAGATGTTTGTTTAAGTGTTCAGTTTTCCACAATTCTCTCATGGAGAAGTTCTAACTCACGGGGTCTAGGAAGGAGCTTCATCAAGACCTCAGAGACTTTGATTCGGACTTGAGCACATGCACCTTGCTGTCCTGCCACACGAGTTTGTTTATATGTATATATACTGTTAATTTTTAAAGATGTATTTACTTATTGTTACTTATGATTGCGTGGGTGTTTATGAGTACCGTGTGCATACAAGTGCCAGGAGAGACGGAGTGTCAGATCCCCTGAACCTGGAATTAAAGATTATGAACCACATGATGTGGGTGCTAGGAACTGAACCTGGGCCCGTGGAAGAACAGCAAGCACTCTTAACCACCGAGCCCACGTCTCCAGCCCTAGTGCTGTTACTGAGGAAAGAAGAGTGTCCCGTGGAGTGTTTGCCATCAGCCGTTTGGGCTGCGTGTGAATCTCTAGAACCCACACAAAGCCAGACACACTAGGCCATGTCTATAATCCCAGCACTCCTGCGACAAAACGGATTGCTGGCTTATGCAGCGGGGAACAAGATCCTGTCTCAGACAAAGAGGAGGGTGGGGACTGGCACCTGCAGTTGTCCTCTGACCTCCACACATGTATCAGACCATGTGCACACCACCTGCATATGAGCATGTGGTTTGGGGTTTGTATTTATTTTTTTCCTTTTTTTTTTTTTTTTTTATGGTGGTTGCAATCAAAACCAGGTCTTGTGCCCCTTAGGCCTTTGCTTTACCAAGGCTTCTCACCTGTCTCCCTCTTAATTCATCCGGGTTCAGCAGGGAAAACAGATTGACTTTGTTTTAAGGCCTTGATTCTTTATGCTCCCATCAGAATGGCCTACTCAGCTTATTAAACAGACTTCTGGGTCCCACCTGATTCGTAAGGGACATTAACGTCAGTGGCCTGGGAGACTCATTCTGAAAATTACATCTTGTGCAGGTGGGGATGCCTCCATCATTCCGATGCTGGAGTTTGAAGAACAGCCCTGCTGCCCTGTCATCGGAAATTGGGCCAACAACTCACCTGTAGAAAGGACTGAGAATCTAGAGGATTCTAAAAATAAAAGGAACTGTGAAGACCCAGACAGTCCTGTAGCCAAGAAAATCAGGCTTGGAACATCTGCCAGCTCGCTCTCCAATTGTGTAGCTCACCATGGGCCACAGGAAAGTGGTCCAGTCAAGCCAGATGTCACCAAGGAGGAATGGGATGCTGCCAATGGAATGGCTTCAGGTAGCATCAGAGTGGTGGATGTGTATAGAACGGGAGCCAAGTGTGTTCCTGGAGAAACTGGGGACTTGAGACAGCCAGGTGCTGCCTACCACCAGGTGGGGCTACTTCGTGTGAAGCCTGGCAGGGGAGACAGGACATGCTCCATGTCCTGCAGTGACAAGATGGCAAGGTGGAATGTCCTCGGATGCCAGGGCGCACTGCTAATGCACTTCCTGGAGAAGCCCATCTACCTCTCAGCTGTGGTCATCGGGAAGTGCCCGTACAGTCAGGAAGCCATGAGGAGAGCACTGACTGGCAGGTGAGAGGCTGTGGGGGAGGGCGGCAGAAGGGGAGCAAGGAGCTAGAAGTCTACGCCTATAGACTCTTCAGTTTTATATCGTGTCACATTTTCTAAAGAAATAAGAAAGCATAAGTCTTAGGTTTGCGTTGTATATACAATAACTTAAAAAGAAAAGGAAAGAAAAAAGTAATTCTCTACAGTTGGAAATTAAGTGATTTTTTTTTGTCAAAAATAGTATTGATAAATATTTAATGTAGAAAGATGCTTGTGATGTCTAAAGAGCAACTTAGAAGATGACGTAAGCTCCATCCTGGTCTTAAAATATGTCTGTGCACAGAAAGCTGTAGGCGGCTGTACACCGATAATTACCTCTGAGTCATGGTGCTGCTGGCTGTCTTCCTTCCTTGTTAAGGCTGTACATTATCATTTTTCTGCTGTGTACTTCTGCAGTAAGCAGAATAATTGCCAGGGCTGGGGAATGTCCCTCAGTCGGAAGAGTGCTTGCCTAATTTGAGTGAGGCTCTAGGTTGAATCTCAGCTCCGCATCAAACTGGGCGTGATGACAGTGAAGACATAGCTTCTAGTCTTAGCATTTGGTGGGAGCAGGGGGAGAGACAGGAAGGTTATCCTTAGCTACATAGGGAGTTTGTGTCCAGCCTAGGCTACATGAGATCCAGTCTCAAAAAAGAAAAAAAAAAAAAGGAAAAAAAGCAGGCAAGCAAACAAGAAAATTTTTATAAACTAAATATTAGTTTTGTGTTGTATGAAAAGAGAGAAGGTTAGCACTCCCCTTGACAAGGATGGAAGAGGCCCTTGGGCCTAACAACACACATACGGTTAAGGCATTGCCACCTACTTTGTGGCATCTAACCACTGTTTACCGGGAAGTGGTGGCGCACGCCTTTAATCCCAGCACTTGGGAGGCAGAGGCAGGCGGATTTCTGAGTTCGAGGCCAGCCTGGTCGACAGAGTGAGTTCCAGGACAGCCAGGGCTATACAGAGAAACCCTGTCTCAAAAAACAAACAAACAAACAAACAAACAAACAAAAAACTAAATATTAGTTTTAACTCCTATAGTGATAATTTTGGAATTTTGTTTCTTTTTAAAACACAGAAATATTTTAAGAATATGCTTTTATCTTAACCCCAGGTGCAGGATATGGGGCTGCTTAGGACTGTCCAAATCATGCTCTAGCAGGAATGTGACTTTGCCAGCTGCAGATAGTTTCTTTGATTGTGTGGTATTTGGAATTCTGGGGGCTTTTCAGAGAGTATATAAATGCTAGGATCCTGACAGGCAAGGTTGTGGTCATTGGTCATTCAGGGAGTGGGTTGCAGTTTGCTAGTAGTTGTGCTCAAAGAAGAAACAAAGGGAAAGAAATTAGATTCAGAGATATCTCTCCTCTATTCTTCTTTCTCTCAGATCTAGTGATAGGGTTGAAACCAGAACCGGAAAAGCAGCAAAGACCAGCTACAAATCCCAGTCAGGACTCAGGAAGCTAAATAGAGGATCCAGGTTCAAGGCCAGTCTAGGCTTCATCTCCAAAATTCTAAATCTTGGCAAAATAAAGACCATGTCTCAAAAAAAGGATAAAGATGGCTGTACATCCGACCACTCTGGCGTGTACTGTAATAAATTAGGAAGAGAGAGGCATCATGAGGACATACAGCCTGGGAAGCAGATTCCCAAAGCAGGACCCCAGACAGAACCTAGCATTGTTCCCACTCATAGGCACACACCCAAGAGAAGTGAAACTGTATTCCCATTAAAACATACAGAGCTGTGTACAGCAGCATGTTGGAGTAGCCTGCAACAGAAGGAGCTCAAGTGCTTATCACTAGATAAATCAATGGACAAATGAATAAGGTATAATGTATCTCTAGGTGTGGCAACATAAGTCTTTAGTCCCAGCACTCAGGGAGGCAGAGACTGTTGGACCTTTGTCAGCTTCAAGGCCGGCCTGGTCTACATAGTGAGTCCCAGGACAGCCAGGATACATTGTTGTTGTTTTGTTTTGTTTGAGACAGGGTTTCTCAGCCGGGCAGTGGTGGCGCCTTTAATCCCAGCACTTGGGAAGCAGAGGCAGGCAGATTTCTGAGTTCGAGAGTTCGAGGGTAGCCAGGACAGCCAGAGCTACACAGAGAAACCCTGTCTCGAAAAACCAAACAAAAAAAAGAGAGAGAGAGAGAGAGAGAGAGAGAGAGAGAGAGAGAGAGAGA